GTCGTCTTGTTACCGAAGATCACGGCTATTCAAATAGATTAACTTCACTGCAGGGGTGCACCACATTTCCCAACAAGCTCAATCCCCTTTGTCCGGACACACTTTTTTGGGTCATGCCCGGCCTCGGAAGATCAACATGTCGCAGCCCTACCTAGGCACAATAGAGAGGTCAACACGCCGGTCTAAATCCTATGGCGCAGGGGTCTGGGCCCATCGCACATTGCACACCTACACGTTGCGAGGGCGGCCGGAAGTAGACCTAGCCCCCGTAATACAAGAGCAGGCTTACGGTCCAATCTGGCGCGCCCCGCTCAGTCGCTGACGTCACGAAGGCTTCTGCTGATACCACAACATCGAGTGCCCATAACTATTCCCGCGTAGTTGGTTAGTGCGTCTAGGCCAGTAGCCAGACTTAGATCAAATACCAAGATCTCGTTAAGCATGTTATCTTGAAGTAACCGCGAACGCCGACCAGGGCCAGGCCCACCTCTCACCTAGGTGGTCTCCACCTACCTTGTCGCTCTGCCACAAAGATCCACACAGAGGGCCGTCGCGAAAGTATGTCCTTCCAGCTCCCAATTCGTGAATCAACCACGGGTACTCAACAAGCCGACCCGACTTTAGTCATAACATATATCAGGTGTAATAGGTATAGTATATACCCGTGATCAACACCCGACGTGATCATGGCCCGACAGTATAGCATGGCAGATAGACAAGAATGTAGGTCCACTGATGATAAACTAGTATCCTATACTAAGCATTTAGGATTGCAGGTAAGGTATCAACAGCTGTAGCAACAATGACAGGCTATGCATCAGAATAGGATAAACGGAAAGCAGTAACATGCTACACTACTCTAATGCAAGCAGTAGAGAGAAGAATAGGCGATATCTGGTGATCAAAGCCTGGGGCTTGCCTGGTTGCTCTGGCAAGAGAGAGGGGCCGTCAACACCGTAGTCGTACTGGGTAGCAGCGGCGTCGGTCTCGGTGTCTTGCGAGAGAAGAGGGGGAAGAAACAATAAATATTAAGCAAACAGATGCATAGCGATGCATGACATGACAAAGCGTGATGCTAGCTGTGCCCTAACGCGGTATGAGATGGTACCGGTGAAGGGGGAGAACATCCGAGAAAATATCCCTGGTGTTTCGCGTTTTCGGGCAAATGACTCGGAGGGGGAAAGTTGCGTGTTCACTATGCTAGGGATGCGTGGCGGACGAACGGGCTGCGTAACCAGATTCGACTCGTCGTTCTAAGCAACTTTCATGTACAAAGTTTTTCATCCGAGCTACGGTTTATTTTATATTAACTTTAAAAGGATTTAATCATTTTTAGGATTAACAGAATTAATTAATTTAGAAAATACAATTATGACGTCAGCATGATGTCATCATGACATCAGCGGTCAACTCTGATCATTGACCGGTCAAACTGACACGTGGGTCCCACTCGTCATAGACTTAGGTTAACTAAATCGGGTTAATTAGGCTAACTAAGTGATTAGGCTAATTTATTTTAATTAGATTAGTTAAACATGATTGATTAACTTAATTAACTTGTTAATTAATTAATTATTAATTTATTTATTCTAACATATTTTTATTATTATTATTATTTATAATCCATTTCGTTCTAATCTGGGGCTGGCCCCACTAGTCAGGGACCAAGCCCAACCGGGGCGGGCGAACGGGAAATGGGCGCAGGGCGCGGGGGTACCCGGCTGGGCGCCGGAGCAGGGCAGGTCGGTGGCCGCGGCGTCGGCCAGGTGGCGGAGCGGCGTCTGGAGGCAGGCGAGGCCAGGTGGAGGCGGACGCGGGCGGCGAGGCACGCGCTAGGGGCGAGCAGCGTCGGCAGGTGGAGGTGCGACTGAGCCAGACTTGGCGGTGGGGCGTTCGCGCATGTCGGACATGGCCGAGGTGCGGGGCAGCAACAGGCGGGGAGGGGGAATGGCGGACGCGACGAAGCAACGACGGCCACGGTGGAAGCCGAGCGCATGTGCGCGCGGGTAGAACGCGGCGGACGGAGGCGGGCGCGCAGGGCGGCGATGCGGCACCCGCAGCAGGGGCGAGTGGGAGGTAGGCAGCGGGTGTGTGCGGCAGGAGCGGCGGAGGCGGGGCGGCACGGCCGGAGCGGGACGGGAGCCATAGCGGGCGTAGACGAGCGCGGCCAAAGGCGCTGGCGACGGCGAGCGAGCGGCGCAAGTGCGCAGTGAGCAAGGGGAAGAGAGGCGGGGCTCACTGGGGAAAGTAGGGCACGGGCAGCGGGGCACGGGGAGGAGGAAGAGGAAGGGACGACGTCCGGATCGCGGGCGACGAGTGCGGCGGGACGACGGGGTCGAGGGCGTGGCGCAGGAACGACGGCCTCGGCACGGGACGAGGAAGGGGCCGAGGCACGCGGGGCGATGGCGGCGTCGGTGGAGACTGGAGACCTCAAGCAGCGGTGGTTGGCGATGAGGGCTTCGGCGGCGGCAGGAACAGGCGATGAGCGCTAGGGCGCTCCCGATCCAGATCGAGCGGGAGGAGGGGGAGTGGGGATCGTGGGGAGGGGGGAATGGGTGAGTGGGGGTGGGCTAGGGTTTCTCTGTGGACTGGTGGGGTGTAAGTAGGGGTGGCCTGGGCCGGCCTGGAGGTCCGATGGCTTGCTGGGCCGAGGCCCATTTGGGGGTCTTTCTCCTCTTTTACTTTTCTGTTAATTTTCTTTTTATTTATTTCTTTTCTGTTTTCACTTATCTCTTAAGTTTATTTAGTTTTATTAATTAGTGCATTAGATCATAAATTGGTAGTTCTAATTATACCTCAACCGCATTAAATTGGGAACTTTAAATAAAGTAGTTTTCATTTGTTTTTAATATTTTCAAAGCGTTTAAATAATTGTTTTGTTGCTGTTTTGTTCATCTTAGAGTTTTAAACATTTTATAAAAGTGTGATTTCTCCATCATAAATACCTATGCATTATTCGGCACAACCCAAACATTTTAGTTTTAATGTTTGAAAACTTTTACGTTTGACTTGATTTTGAATTTGAATCGGTTTCGAACTAACGCGAGATTAGGAACAGTAACCGCGATGACGTGGCATCATTAACAAAGGTTTACTGTAGCTTAATTATCCGGACGTCACAGGGTTCTCCTTTTAGGAGTAGAGATGCCGAGTGTAAAATAATAGATTGGTCATAAAAAATGAAACATACGAAAAATAACACATGCGCATGCGTCAAATGGGTCGGCCAACTTTGATAAAATTTGATTTGATTTGAATGAGTTAGTGCGCGATGTTGTTCTGGGAACTGTCAATTTAACTGAGTTAATGCATCCACTAAATGGGCAAGCCAACTTTGGTAAGATTTGATTTGATTTGAATGAGTTAATGCATGGCGTTGCTTTGGGAAAGTATCGATTTGATTAAGTTAATGCACGCGTCAAATGGGTCACCAACTTTGGCAAGACTTGATTTGATTTGAATGAGTTATAATGTGCAATCTTGTTTTGGAAAAGTGCCGATTTGATTGAGTTAATGCACACTTCAAATGGGTCAACCAATTTTGGTAAGATTTAATTTGATTTTAATAAGTTAATGTGCGACGTTGTTTTGAAAAGTGCATATTTGATTGAGTTAATGCACGTGTCAAATGGGCCATCCCAAATTGGATGGGCTTGAGCGAAAAGTCTATAAGACACTTGCATGCGTATGTTGCGGAGGAGTTGGTGGGAGGTGAGACGAGACTACCAACTCCCCCTTTAGGAGTAGAGATTGGGTTCCCGAGCTGATCGCTATAATCGCATGGTATTTATGGTGGAATAGACGGAAGCTAGTCCATGAGGGAAAGTCTCAAGAGGTGTCCCAAACCTCGATTCAGATTCGGGGTATAACGAAAAATTATGTAAATACCCACTCACGTAAGGCAGAGGGAGAATGGAGGATGGAGCAGACCTCCTATGGGGTTTGTTAAATTGAATGTGGATGCTTCTTTCAATCATGATCAACTAAGGGGCATAGCAGGTGTTGTTAGCAGGGATGACAAAGGAAACTTCATTATAGGTGGAAATTGGAAGATTGAGTTGTGCAGATGCCTTGACAGCGGAAGCGTTAGCACTTAGGTTTGGCTTATTGTTGGCACGAAAGGCGGGCTACAATCGTCTCATTATCAATTCTGACAACGCGGGAGTCATTGACACAATGAAGAATGGAGGACATTCTGCAGGAGCGACGGCTGCAATCTTTGAGGGTTCTTTTTTAATGGCTTGTGATTTTCCTCTTACTAGTTTTGAACATTGTAATAGAGAAGCGAACAAAGTAGATCATGAGCTTGCTAGACTAGCAAAATGTTTCATGATTAGGGATTGGATCCAGGAGCCCATGGAAAATATTGTATCTTTTCTTATAGACGATGTAACAATTATTTCTAATTAATAAATGTTAAAAAAGATCACTAGTTAGGGACCCTCTATCCGAGGTCCGCCGGATTCAACCCTTGACACAATGTACATGGATGTTCGACACATGGTGAATCCAAGATGATCGAGAATATTCGCAAGCGAAATTTGTTGGAGTTATGTCGAAATTGTGTACAAGTTAAGTTACAATTGAACTCTAAGTCATACAGTGTGTAGGTAGGGTATGATGTAGTGCTCACACAATGTAACTTATGCAACATGATAGCACACGCACGCGCCGGCATGTGCCGGAGCCCGGGTGTTCAAGGTGTGGTATTGTAACGGTACCATGAGCTGCCATAGTCAGACCACGAAATGTAGTCATATTTGTGAACCTCGTTAACAAATTATGGTATCATGCCTCATGTGATTGCTTGGGCCTTTGGATGATCGACAACATGACTCCGATTAATCATAACAATTGGAATTATACGGTACAGGTAAATACCACCATGGTAAAATTGTTCACTCTCACAGAAAAATGAATCCCCCTTTTCTTGTTACTTTGTATCAGCACTGCCAATTATATATGGGTATGCGACCATGGTGACGGCTGATCAATCGGTTTCAGAACTGCTCCGGCCAGTCGCCGTAGATGCCGCTGGTCTTCCGGAGGCTCATGAGCATCAGCCTGTTGGGCTTCTTGCCACCGCCCTCCACGGGTATCTGGCCAAGACGATCACGCGCGGCCGGGGCAGGCACCGGCGCAAACGCCCTGGCCGGGCCCGGAGCAGTGTAGCGCGGCGCTGGGGATGGCATCGCGGGCGGCGTGGCGCTCCTCCGCTCGTCCGCCAGCAGCTTCTGGTCCCCGGTGATGCGAATCGCGTGACCTGGACAGGAGGGGGGAGTCAACAAATCGAGGGCATTGTTTCGCGAGATCCCGACGCGATCGGCCATGGACACTTGCGCGCGAGCGCGATCTAGATAGAGTAGCATAGGCAGCGGGCGTACCAGGTGGTGCCGGCGCGGCGGCGTGGGGGAAGGCGAGCTTGTCCCCGAAATGGCCCCTGTCCCTGAAGTTGTGCCACGCCTTGCCGCCGCCGTAGACGATCCTGCCGCCGTGCTCCTGGTCGGGCGGCCTGCGCCAAACGGCGTGGGCGTGGGGAGGGACCGGCGGGCGCAGCTCGGCGCGGCCGTGCGCGAAGGTGCAGCCGTCCTCGTACACGCAGCGGCCGGTGGCCTCGTACTTGTCGCAGAGCCTGGTCTTGTAGTAGAGCTTCTCCGGCGGCGCATCCGTGCGCTGGTGCTGCCCCTGCCCCGCCACCACCGCCGCCTCCTCCGACCGCGGCGGCCTCCCCGAGGACAGCACGATCACGTTCTCCGCCCAGCGGCGCGTCGGGGCGGCGGCGCTCTCCCCCTCCATGGCTGCTGGCCGCCTGACTAAACCCTAGGTTAGCGCAGCCGGGTAGACAGATTTGACTAGATGAGGACCAGGGGAAGCGAGAGAGACTGCGATGCGGAGATGGATTTATACCGAAAGGAGGGCGCTTGGATTTCGGGGGATTTCCGGCCTCCGCGGTCGGGATCGGGTTGGAATCGCTTCGGTTTGCTGGCTGTGCTGAGGATTGCGAAACTGATTGGGGTTTCTGTTTCGATTGGCATTCGACATCGGAGGATCGGGCGCCGCGGTGCTATCCGCTCCGGGCGGGGTGTCCCGTGGAACGTGCGTACCTGCGGAAGGTGGTGGTTATACCTGGCCAAATGTCGGGCCGGGCCAAACAAAGCCCGTTGCAAAAAACCTGGGCCCGAGCCCGGCCCGGCCCGGCCGTCGGGCCTAGATTTCAGGCCCGAGCCCGGCCCATCAGTCAAAAAGCCCAACGGGCCTCGGGCCACGGGCCGGGCCTCTTCGTTAAATGGCAAATATGGCAGGCCCGAGCCCGGCCCGGCCTGGCCATCGGGCCTAAAAATCAGGCCCAAGCCCGGCCCATGGGCAAGGTCGGGCCGGGCCGGGTCGGGCTTTTTTAGATCGGGCCGGGCGGGCCGTCCGGACCGGGTTTCCATGGCCAGGTCTAGTGGTGGTGTTTTATTTTACATTAATGTTAAATTAAAAATGTTGGATTTTTAAACATGGTAAATTGGACATTTTTTTATGTCATATAAATTATCTCTACTCCTAATGTAGGAGTTGGTAGTCTGGTACGGTTTTTTTTTGTCTGATTTTATTTCGTCTCACCTCTCATCAACTTGGTTTTTCTCTCTCCCTTAAAAAACTAAATCTCATTAAGGGGATCTTGTTTCGTGCTTGCTTTGACATATGATGATTTAATTTAATTACGTAAATAACAGGTAATTAAGAATTCAAAAATCGCATCCTATATGTGAGATCACCTTCCTAAAAGACAGACATAAGATTTTCTTGATATAACCTTTCAATGCAAAATCATATATTCCCGCATAATAAATCACTATTCCCGCGTGCTATGCCATTTATTATTATCATTATTTCTACTATTAATTGGCAAGTTTCCTAATGCAACAAAAATAGCATATCTTTTTTCTTATGAGCGCATCCGCGTGTACACCATGTAAGACGCCGACGCGATTCTCAAGAATACCAGGGTCTAGATCACAGTGTCGAGGATGGCTGTGGCGAAAGGCGGGTCGTCGGGCCACCACATACAGGCTTATGTGAATGTTGTCAAATTATATTTCTTATAAGTCATACAAAGAGCCAGACATGCTAAATTCTCAAATCAAGTGTGATCATTTAAATGTCGAAAAAATCGTTAGGGAATTGCATCCAACAATACTCGGTAGTTGTCATCGTCATTCGTAGCAGCCATTCACGCAAAAATATTATGAAAATTGAGCACGGGATCAATTTGGAAATCAAACCATTAATGCAATCTCTGCTCCTAATGTAGGAGTTGGTAGCCTGGTACGGTCATTTTTCGTCCGGTTTTATTTCATCTCACCTCTCACCACCCCTTGCGCTGGTTTTTCTCTCTCCCTTAAAAAACCAAATCCCATTAAGGGGGGTCTTGTTTCGTGCTTGCTTTGACAGATGCTGATTCAATTCAATTACATAAATAACAGGTAATTAAGAATTCATAAATCGCATCATATATGTGAGATCACCTTCCTAAAAGACAGACATAAGATTTCCTTGATAACCTTCCAATACAAAATCATATATTCTCGCATAACAAATCACTATTCTCGCGCGCTATGCCATTTATTATTATCATTATCTCTATTATTAATTGGCAATCACAAGTTTCCTAATATAACAAAAATAACATATCTTTTTTCTTATGAGTGCATCCGCGGGTACACTATGTAAGACGCCAGCACGATTCTCAAGAATGTCAGGGTCTGGATCACGGTGTCGAGGATGGCTGTGGCGAAAGGCGAGTAGTCAGGCCACCACATACAGACTTATGTGAATGTTGTCAAATTGTATTTCTTATAAGTCATACAAAGAGCTAGACATGCTAAATTCTCAAATCAAGTGTGACCATTTAAATGTCAAGAAAAATCGTTAGGGAAATGCATCCAACAATACTCGGTAGTTGTCCTCGTCATTCGTAGCAGCCATTCACGCGAAAAAATTATGGAAATTGAGCACAGAATCAATTTGGAAATCAAACCATTAATGCAATCTCTACTCCTAATGGAGTATTTGGTAGCCTGGTACGGTCTTTTTTCGTTTGGTTTTATTCCGTCTCACCTCTCACCACCCCTTCCGCTGGTTTTTCTCCCTCCCATTAAAAAACCAAATCCCATTAAGGGGGGTCTTGTTTCGTGCTTTCTTTGGCAGATTCTGATTCAATTCAATTACGTAAATAACAGGTAATTAAGAATTAAGAAATCACATCATATATGTGAGATCACCTTCCTAAAAGGCAAACATAAGATTTTCCTGATAACCTTCCAATACAAAATCATATATTCCCGCATAACAAATCACTCTTCTCGCATGCTATGCCATTTATTATTATCATTATCTGTGCTATTAATCTGCAATCACAAGTTTCCTAATACAACAAAAATAACATATCTTTTTTCTTATGAGTGCATCCACGCGTACACCATGTAAAACGCCGGCGTGATTCTCGAGGCTTATGTGAATGTTGTCAAATTAAATTTCTTATAAGTCATATAGAGAAACAGACATGTTAAATTCTCAAATCAAGTGTGATCATTTGAATGTCAAAAATATCGTTAGGGAAATGCATCCAACAATACTCGGTAGTTGTCCTCGTCATTCATAGCAGCCATTCACGCGAAAATATTATGGAAATTGAGCACATAATCAATTTGAAAATCAAACCATTAATGCAATTAATTAGCTAGAGAGTTAATTACGCATGCAATTAACTAGGTCCATTTAAATAGGATTTTTTGCACTGAATCAATTTGGAAATCGAGTCATTAATGCAATTAATTAATTAGGTAGACAATTTATTATGCCTAGAGATAATTAGAAGTAGCGATTTTTTCAATTAGGCAGATAATTGATTTATTTGGTTAACAATTAATTAGGCATGCAGGTATTAGGTAGGCCGTTAATTATTTGTGTACTTATAATTAACTAAGAAAGCAGTTAATCACGCCGAATCATTTTGTAAGCGCTCGTGGGCAACAGCGATCAACAATCTCTCAGCGACATTGCCGAGCACTGCTTGCCAACATGGGCAACGACCACAATGAGCTCGCGACATGGATGATCTAGCGTTCACCATGATGGATGACGACTATGCCCTACAGGATGTACACATGCTTACGGTTGTCAAAACATTCGCGGGTGAGGACAACATGACACAACATTGGTCAGGTGATTCATGCTATTGTAGAAAAAAGGGGTGTTCCAAGCATAAAGAGGAAAAAAGAACTAAAGCCACCAAGTGGTCTACGGTGTTGGAGAAAGAAAGAGTGTCCCAGCAAATAAAAAATAAAGAAAGAATATTCTAGAAAACAATTAGGAATGAGAGCTAAAGCTGGCAAGGAATGAGAAGAAGAAGAAGGGGAGTTGATGACGAAAACACTAATGTTGACATGCTGCTGATTCGCGTCAATGAAAATGGTTGGCGAAGAGGCTAGAATCAGAAGATGTAGGGAAGGACGAGAAAAAGAAGAATGAAAAATATCCCTTGTAGCAATGAATGGTACGTGGGCTAGAGGTGGAGCATATTGATGACTAGGAATACGTTCACAGTTCCACTCACCTTCGACGTCAGTGTGCATTTACAAAGTCGAATGGACCTTTGAGAATGATTTCTATAGTTACTTGTTGTTTTGTGTCAATGCTATGTGTTAGGTTTGAAGGAAATATGCCCTAGAGGCAATAATAAAGTTGTTATTTTATATTTCCTTATATCATGGTAAATGTTTATTATTCATGCTATAATTGTATTAACCGGAAACTTGATACATGTGTGGATACATAGACAAAACACCGTGTCCCTAGTAAGTCTCTACTAGACTAGCTCGTTAATCAAAGATGGTTAAGTTTCCTAACCATAGACATGTGTTGTCATTTGATGAACGGGATAACGTCATTAGGAGAATGATGTGATGGACAAGACCCATCCGTTAGCTTAGCATATTGATCGTTCAGTTTTATTGCTATTGATTTCTTCATGTCAAATACATATTCCTTCGACTATGAGATTATACAACTCCCGGATACCGGAGTAATACCTTGTGTGCTATCAAACGCCACAACGTAACTGGGTGGTTATAAAGATGCTCTACAGGTATCTCCGAAGGTGTTTGTTGGGTTGGCATAGATGGTTAAGTTTCCTAACCATAGACATGTGTTGTCATTTGATGAATGAGATCACATCATTAGGAGAATGATGTAATGGACAAGACCCATCCATTAGCTTAGCATATTGATAGTTTAGTTTTATTGTTATTGCTTTCTTCATGTCAAATACATATTCCTTCGACTA